ACTAATGTGGTCAACCTCTGCTCGAAATTGGAGAAACAAAGAGGCAAACTTCTAGCTAGTTTTCTTGATATTCAGGATCTGCGTCTTAATCGTCCTGATCTGAAATGGTTAATAACAAAAAGGTGAGCTACATTAGCTCAGTAAGAATATCAACACCTTACCACTGATACGAAAAATCAAAAGTTTATAGAAGTCGTAAAACAACGAATGGAGCTCATTTTTAAATAAACTCATTTAACTAAAAATACTAATTTTCTGAATTCACATGTAAGTTCCTAAATATCATTTATAAAGATAAGAATCAGAATAGTAATCTATACTACGCATTCTAAAAGACCAACAACATTTAACCTTTATCATTTCAACTTACCTACTAGTGTCGCTGGGGGTCCATAGGGGTCCCCACTATATGTTGACCAAATATTCATTTTATTAATCAAACGACTATCCCTATAACCCATTCAGTAATGAGCGCCAAATATATAACCGCCTCAATACTCCATCCGGTATTAGTGAAATCAAACAACTCCCAACCCCTTTCGGTATGGGACTTCTCAATCTCGTTCAACTGAGGGTAACGACCACGATAGGGTTTATCCTATGCATCAAGTCTGTATACTCTTTTCCAAGGAACCCGGTAAGACTTATTTATTTGACATAATGGATTCGTGCATATGCCATCTATTATTTACTATTTAGCCCTAAGGGACCCGTACATCTATATCACAACCATATGAGTGCATATTTTAAGATAAGTATATGAATTAAGAATGTATTATATCGATAGAAATATGTTATACACATAATAGAGTGACCGGACAACATAAATTGAGAAAACTTACCACGTTAGCCATGGATTTAAAGTAAATAAATTAAAGTAAGCAGAACAGTGAATAGATATAATAAACGACTGAAAAAATAAATACTATAATTAAAACTCAAACAGGTATAGACTGACCAGTTACTTGCTCTATTGGTCACATGTACTTAATTAATTAAAGGATC